AATGGAGAGCCGCCTCATCAGCTAGCTGGGTGTCCATCGCCTCCTCCTGGATCTTGCGGCGCTGCCAGTGCGCATACATGATGCGGAGGGACCTGCACAGCAAGAACCTCGCGCCAGGGAGATCACGACTATACACCGCAACTAGTTCATGGTGTCACATTTATGCTACACACTCCGCCGCACGTCAGACCACAATACCAACAATAAGAATCAAGATATCACATGCTGCACAGACACAGTGTCGACTCGCGTGCCTCCCTTAATTAGCCTCCCCCCCTCTCTGTCCGTGAAGCCTCCCTCGAGATCCCTTACGATTAGCCCCTCCTCTCCGCCCTCCCTGATCATATCTTCTCCTCCCTCCATGCGTCTCAGCTGGTGCCGCCCCCCCCTCCCGCAACCTCTCGCTCCTCCCTCCTTGCCTCCCGCCTCCTTTACCAATCTCCCACCCTCCCTTGACCTCAGTTCCCCCGTGCATCTAACAGGCACATTTTTCTGACATCATTCCTCCTGCAAGCTGCCTCCTGGCTTGCACGACGGTCTTCGCGGGCTTCCTGCCCTTCATCACTCTGTAGCCGTTCTCGAACTTCTCACCGTACAGCTTGTCCCAGACGGCCTGGGGCGCAGGGGGGCCCTCTTAAAAAACACACTGCTGATAGCAATGGCACGTTTCAAGCGTGATCTGTTCACGCACACGCACGCACCTCAAACTCAACATGATACGTGATGGGACCTGCTCCCACTGCCCTCTCTCCTCTCTCCTTCGCTGCCATTGCCCTTCCCTCCCCTCCCCTTTCCTCCCCCTCGTACCTCCACTCACACCCTCTTATACACCAAGGCGTAGCCTCCCTCCTCATTGCCTTCGCTATTCGCTCCCTGTCCCCAGCAACGCGATCCAGCCTCCATGTTCTTCTGTGAGATGCGCATGCCCTCCATCTCGAGCGTCATCGCGATGAGCGTGCCTTCGAATACCTCCCCTGATCCTCGCTTCATGCACTTTCCCCCGTACCCTCGCTCACCGCCTCCGAGTCTTTCCTTACCCGTACCCTCGCTGCTCTCCGTCTTTCCTTTGCTCGAGTGGGCGACAAGATCTTGTCGCTCCCTGTCCCCGCTTACCTCCCTCCCCTTACCCTCGGCCCTCTCGGTCCAACCTCACCTCCAGGCCTGCACCCTGCTATAGCAGCAGGTTCCTCGACCCCTCCATGCATCCCTCCACGCCCTCGCTCCCCTTCCTAACCCTGCACTTCCCTCCATACCCTCGAGTCTTCGCATCTTATCCCGACCCCCCCCGTCCCGCCTGCCAGAATTCTGGCTGGGGCCGACAGGAAGAGGACTTGGCAGGGTAGCTCGACCAGTCGGGGATGTCGTCATAGCCCACGGCCGCGGAGGGCGGTCGGGCCCTGAGCCTCATCATCGCCCTCGCCCTCAGACCCACCCGCCCCCTCGATCCACATCCTCATCCTCGCCCTCGATCAGCTTCACTCGCAGCGACGGGGGCGAGGCAGACGGTCCGCGAGAGCGTGGGTAATGATGAAAACGCCCCCCCCCCCTCCCTCCCCTAACCTCCCGTCCCCGAGAGCGAGGGTGCCGATGAAGCCCTCGATCCGCTTTACTCGCAGCGACGGGGACGAGGTCAGCGAGAGTGAGGGTGATGATGATCATGCTCCTCTATCCTCCCGTCCTCGAGTGCGGTCACATTCCCCTAACCTCGGATCCCCTCCTCTATCCTCCCCTCCCTCCCCTAACCTCCCGTCCTCGAGTGCGGTCTCATTCCTCCCCTCACCTGCTCCTCAATCTTTATCCGTATCCATTCCCTTCTTCGATTCCCTTCTTACCCTTCCCTCTCCCACCTCCTTCACCCCTCTCTCCTGGCTGGCAACGGCCTGGCAACTTCGGGTGGGTCGCGTCCACAGTGGTTCCGATCGCCTCGCTGGCGGGCGGAGGCAACCGATCGACGACAACAACACGACCGCTAACGGGGCTACACATGACCGCCTGTTGCCCCCCTTCTCCCTGGGAATGTCTTCCCCTCTATGCTCCTCGACGTGCTCGTGATCCTCCTGATCCCCCTCATCCCTCTCGATCTCTACCCCTCCTTCCTCTTCTGTCCCTTCTTTCCTCCCCCCCTGCATCCTCGATTCCTCCTTTTCTTTCTCCTCCAATCGAGAACGCTCCCATCACAAATGCGGTGGCCTCTGCCGTGAGGGCGAGGTCGATATCAGCCGTTTTCTTGTTCCTCAGCTTTTCCATCGCGGCTGCAGCCTGGCAATGGAAGATCGATCGGGAGAAACAAAGATGATTCGGACGAAGACTCGAGGTGGAGAGGGAAGCGGAGGAGAAGGAGAATGACGAGGACGAAAACGGCCTCGGCTTCGGCCTTGACCAACGCCATGTGCGAGCGATATCGTCGCACGAACTGGCCTCGCGCCCATCTGCACCATCGCCTCGGGATGGTGTGGCCCTGGGCACCGTCGAGGAATCGATCTGACAAGACCCACGGCTTCGGGACGTCCTGGGGCCCGGAGGAGCAGGAGGAGGAGGAGGATGAGGAGGAGGAAGATCTCCAGGAGCGGCGCTCAGAGGAGGAGTAAGTTTAAGAAGGACGGGGTGGGTGGAGGAGGGGGAGATTCGAGGAGGAGGAGGAGGAGGAGGAGGAGGAGGAGGAGGAGGAAAAGGCGAGGATCCCAAGAAGGATGGATCGAAGAAGGAGGAGAGAGGATGAGTCCTCGGGGCGCCAGGTCGCCACTCTGGCACCCCAGCGGCGTCGCACGCCATGTCCACCAGCCGCGGCACCGCCTCGAGCGATGGGCCGCCATCGCCCATGGCGCCTCGGGACGGCCGAAACTGATGGATCGACCGCGCTGGTGGACATGGCGGTCGGCCGCGTGGTCCCCTCTCCCCCCGCACGGCCTCCAGGGCGGGCGACGCCGCGCGGCCGCGGCCGCGGGCGACGCTCGCGCGCGTCGCCGCGCGGCGACGCGCGCGAGGGCGCTCCCGCGCGGGTGCGCCCTTGAGCAGGGGCGACGCGCGAGGCAGAGCGCGCCGCGAGCGCGCGAGCAAGGCAAGAGGGTCGAGGTGGAAGAAGGAGGAGGAGAAGAAGGATAATACATTTTTATATATATAACATATTATTATTATTATTATTTAATTATAGAGAGGATAGACTCTCACGATCGAGTGCGCATTCTGGTGGGTGCCAGCATGGTAAACCAATACATCATTGCCTACTACCAAAAAACAAGACATCCAAGAAAAAAACAAGACATCCAAGAAAAAACAATACATACCTTAAACAAAAACAAGACGCGTAGGAATCGAATCTAAAAATCAAGACAATTCCCAAAAAACAAGGCAAACCGTCGTCGCGAGAAAATTGCGACTCTCAGAGGTCTGGGTTATTCGTTATGAATACTACTCTCCCTCTTCCCCTGATGACGTCTTGGGAGTAGCCGCCCCCCCCCCCGCGTACTGTTTTTTACACACAGGTTTCCCTGGAGTTGGGTTTTCGCTTGCATTTTTTCCAAAATGCTGCTCTCGCTGAGGCGCCGGCCTCATTTTCTGGCTCCGCTCGTTCCGAATCGTGCTCCCGCTGCAGCGCTGGCAGAATTTCCGCCGGCGCCTGCACGCCCGAGCCGGCGCCCGGGCCGGCGCTCGGGCCGGGTCTGGAGCCGGTTCCGGCCGGCGCCGGAAAATCGAGTTCCGAGGCGGCGCCGAAAAAAGGACATTTCAATACACATTTTTCTTTTGAAAATGCTGAATTTCTGCTTCCGGGGCCTCCTCGGCCGATTCCGACCGGCGCCCGGGCCGGCGCCCGGGCCGGACGCCCGAGCCGGGGGCCTTGGCCGGCGCCCAGGCCCGGTCCGGAGCCGGCTCCGGCCGGCGCCGGAAAATCTAGTTCCGAGGCGCCGCCGAAAAAAATGTTATTCCAATACACATTTTTCTTTTGAAAATGCTGAATTTCTGCTTCTGGCGCCCGGGAAGCCTCCCGGGCCGATTCCGGCGTGCTTCCGCTCGTTCCGAATCGTGCTCCCGCTGCAGCGCGGGGCCTCATTTGCGCGCTTCCGTTCGTTTCGACTCGTGCTCCCGCTGCAGCGCTGGCGTCATTTCCCGTGCCATGCCACGGCATGCAATGCAATGCTAGGTTGATACTACGCTTCGCGGTGCTCTTCTGCGCCATGCCATGCCGTGCTCTACAATGCATCGCGTACCCTTTCGGGATCATTGCCCTGCTCGACATCCGACTGTGCGAGTAGAGAGGGGATCTGCGCCATGGTAAGGGATGGGAGGGAGGGGTAGGAACCCAGATATGACGCGAGCGCACCTAGCTTGTCCTCCCCCCCTCCTCCTCCACCTCCTCCTCCTCCTTCTCCTCCTCTTCCTCCTCCTCCTCCCTCCTCCTCCTCCTCCTCCTCCTCCCCCTCCTCCTCCTTTTACTCCTCCTCCTCCTCCTCCTCCTCCTCTTCCTCCTCCTCAACCTCCTCCTCCTCCTCCTTCTCTTGCTCCTCCTCCTCCTCCTCCTCCTCCTCCTCCTCCTCCTCCTCTTGCTCCTCCTCCTCCTCCTCATCCTCCTCCTCCTCCTGCTCCTCCTCCCCCTCCTCGCTCCTCGCTCCTCCTCCTCCTCCTCCTCTTCCTTTTCCTCCTCCTCCTCCTCCTCCTCCTCCTTCTCCTCCTATTGCTCCTCGTGCGAGACTCGTGAACACCCATGGGGCGAGTCTCGATACCACCACAGTGCCAGACAAAGAATTCCCACAACAACTATCATGAGGAACATGGGGCCCACTGGCCAGGAAGGCGGAGCCCCCGCCGAGATAGCCGCACAACTTGTGGAGGAACAGACAACTGCATGCCAAACTGGCGGCCCACGAGTGCGCCTGGGCTCGAAGCCCCGCTGCCCCCGAGGGGGACTGGGGTCAGACTGCTCAGCGCTTGGCAACCTGACGACGCCTAGGCTTATCCTCATCTCCGTCTGCATCATCACCCGAGCTGCGCTTGAACTCCAACAGTCATTTGAGAAGAGGACCGTCAAGAGTATGCTGCGCCGTGATGAAGAGGTCCTCGCACTTGATGCTGTAGAAAGCCCGCAGGGAGCGGGTGAACTCGGGCGCCTTCTCCTCCTGCAACATGAAAGCCCACGCCCATGGGCGTCCCGCTTTCCATGTAGGGTGCCTAGGCTTTGCTCTGGACAACTGCGTATCAAGCTCGGCCACACTGAGTGTACTTGACGAATTTGACATCACCCTCGGATAACTTGCCCTGGAGGGCGCGGCCGATCTGCTCCACCATAGCCTCGAACAGGACAGAACGCAGACCACCGCCCAAACTGTGAGGAGCAAGTTCAGCGTCCTCCATGTTTGTCTCCTTGGCCTTGTCAAACGCAGCGCGGCGCTCCTTCTCCTCCACCTTCCAGATCGCACGCAGCTGCTCGAGCTCTTTATTGGCATCATCTTTCTCGACCACGCACACGAAGGAAGCACGATCTTCAAGAGTAGCGACCCTGCGGCCCAGAGACACCACAATGGGGATAAACTTGTTTACGACAGTCTTGGTCGTCGCATCCTTCGGGGCAGGTCCAGCACCGCGTGCTTCTTTCGGTCCATCAGACCCAGCTGCCGCACCTCCCTCGACAGCTTTAGCACGGAGAACTTCAAGCATAGCGTATGGTACTCGCAACACGCCACGAGGGGCACGCAGCTGAGCCAAATTGTTACACGGGGAGCTTGCTCTGAATGCGTCGATTCTTGCATGCATTGAAGTGCTTGGCGAAATGACATTGGTCGGGAAATTTGATGTTGCAATACTTGCACTGAACAGTCCAGGAGGCTATCTGCTCGGGGGTGCGTTTCTTGTCGCGTGTTCGAATCCGTTGCTGAACCCCCTTTAGCCAAACGTCCCACGTAGCTTTGGCGCAAGCGTATCTGTGATTTGCGTAACTTGCTAGCTGCCCACAATTTCTGCAGGTAAACTGTACCCAGTCTTGCTCTCTGTCATCCGAGGGGCCCGTTTCGCTTTGGCTTGCGCTTGCTGGAGCTTGCGACGATTCTTAACGGGCGCAGGCGGTGGGGCCTCCAATACAGGGGCCACAGGAACAGGCGGAGGAGGGTAAATCGTCGAGGCCGATTTCGATCTCACTCGAGTCCTCCTCGGGGCCTCCACCACCTGCTTCTCTCGGAGACGACGTCGAATAACCGATGCTGGGGAAGGAAGTGGGGCAGCAGCAGCAGCAGCTGGACGACGCAGAGAAATCGCACCAGGACATCTGGCCACGTGGGGGTCGCACGACGCTCGATGCACCAAGGAACCACATTTTGGACAAGCCGAGGCGTTGCATATGAAGCGCTGTCGGTCTGGCCGCATCTTCCCAGTGCAGAAACGCACATGCTTGGGATAGCCATTGCACGGAATAAGGTATTGGCACTTTGGACAAACTCTCAAAGTGCCACCATATGCTGAGCCCACTTCTGGGGCTTGTGCTGCTAGAGAAGGCCTCTCCTCGAGAGGTCGGTCGGCTTCTGCTGGCCGTGCCGGCTTGAGACGCCTTCGGAGGTCTTGCTTCGCAAGATCGCAAAGCTTCCTCCGCTGCTGGCCATTCTCTTCGCGAGCAATCTGAAGCCACTCTTGGTGCCACTGAGGCTCGGGCTTGGAGCTGAACTTCATCAATGACTGAATTTGTTTCCAGTACCAACTCCGTACTGTGATACGTCTGCTGTCGGGCTCGAGAGTCCCAGGGCCATCTCTGAGTTCGGCTCCAAGCATCCCTACTTCCCACCGCCCCCAAGAGTACCTCCCAAAGTGGCCTAGATAGGAGAGGGCTCCGATAGTGATCTGGGTCTCGATGAGGTCCAGGCCGAACCACCCATAGCTTACGTCCATAATGATATGTTTTTCGTCCATTATTCGAAGGGTGGTCCCACGAGATCGATATGCTAGGTATCTGATACACCGGCCTACAAAAATGTGATATCGGTCGATCTCCTGCTGGTGGAAAGCTCGGACCTCGGCCACGTATAGCAAACATCCAATAACTGACGCCTGAAATATTTGGCCCTGGATTCTGAGAGGCAGTTTGGAAGCCCCAAGCTGGTGTCTGAGTTTCACCCAAACCCTGGGCGCGGCTTGAATCCTCTTCGAAGTGTCCGTCCTCCATCCTCCGTCCGTGTCTACCCACCCACCTAGTGCTCGAACAGAGTGGTGAAAGCCAGCTGGGAGAGCCTGTGAGACGTCGTAAACTCCCGCTCTCATCTACTTGTCTTTGCCTGGATGGATTTTTTTTCTCCTCGACCACCGAGTGCGTTCCCAACCTGTCGCGCCGTCTCCTGAAACGGCGGCGTGGCGGTTCACGCTGATGCGTCGTCGGCGAAACCCATGACTTTGAAATCCATTGCATTCGTGGTCTCGCCATTTCGCCAATTTGTCCCGCGCCCAAGCGAACGCCGAAGCGACGGGGTCAGCTTGAGTCCGATGCCTGGCAGCACTTTTTTCAGCACGCGTAAGGAATAATTGTGATAACAGTTGAACAGAGTGCAAGAGCTGGCACATCCTTCTTGAAGCCCACGATATAAAAGATATGGATCCGACTCCCCAGAATGAAGGCGAACTTGGTAATTGGTTTCGCCATGGAGTCCCCTGGAGTTCGCCACGATGTTCGAAAGGGGGGCCTTCCTTGTGCAGAGCGCGCCAAGGAGGCTCGCAGGGAACAGTCGGATATGCTTTCTGAATGTGTGCAATATACAGCACTGCCTGATTGTTTTGAAACTTTTGGTATGATGTAGTCCAGGCGGCCTGGTGCTTGTCCCGAGTACCCGCGCTCTGGTACTTGGCGCGTTGAGCTAGCAAACACCGTTCCCAATCGGCATGCACTTCGCATACAATACGTGTGATGAAGATAACATCTCTGGTCGATCGCCCACGTCTGAAGCCCCACTGCTCCTTCTCGAAGAAGGACAAGCCCTCGAGGTACTTCACTACTCGCTTGACTGCCAAGCGTGCCGACATGCGAGTAATCATGCTGAGCAAACAGATTCCCTTGTAGTTGTTTAAGTCGTCTCTGGAACCTTTTCTCCTGCATACCATTAGGACTATTGCTTCGTGGGCTGATGTGTCCCAGCGAGGTTGGGGTCCGTCCAAATCCGCAGCCTGCAAATCAGCTCGTGGACGGCCCTCTGCTCCTCCGCTGGTGCTTGTCTGATCATGTCGATTGGGACCTCGTCCTTGCCCGCTGCTGAAACCCGCATCCTCTTGATAGTCGTCTGGAACTCCTCGAAGGAGGGAATTGCGCCCAGAGATTCGCGCGCCGGCCTCTGGGGAGGGTTGCTGGAAACATCGATCGACGGTGTAGCCGTCGTACCACTGATCTTTTGAAAGGGCTTGCGGCAGTCGTCGGGTTTGACTTGCTCGACATCTCTGATCCAATCGTAGCTTATATAAACGCCAAGCTCTCGCAACAAAGAACAGTGCTACCCCATCTCGTGATTGGTCGCCGCCTACTCGAGCTGCTGACGTAGACAGCTGATAGCCTTGCCCTTGAGGTCGCGCTCGAACTGCCTCTCTGTCTTCTTCGTCGGCCCGATAGTTCGCGAGCGTCTGCCGCTCGGTGGGGGTGCCGCGCGCCGAACAGTGCGATGCGTAACTGTCGGCCGCCCTCTGCTTGCTCTTGAGAACGTCTGGCTTGCACTCCGCAAGCACAGGTATGCCGCGCTGTCTCTGCCCGCGGCCGCGCGCCGCTTCCGCTGCCGAGAGAAACGCCCTTGATACATCTCGCCAAGCCGTCCACGTCGGAGTCGTCGTTCGTGAGTCGACCAAGTTCTGGTGATATTGCTTTCGAAGCTGAATCGGTTCGTGGCCCATGCCGCGGGCCTGGGACCATAGAACTGGACGTTGGGGAACCGCTCGAGTAGGATCTCTGATATGCTGAAGCTCTTGCTTCGTCAGGCGCCCGAAAGGTAGAAAAGAAACGAACTTGCCTCGGTGGTCGCAAAGCGCGAAAGTAGAAGTCTTCAAATTGCGCCATCTTGCAGGCGCCCCAGAAGATGTCAAGAAAACGTCGAGCTCGTATTTTGTCGCTACATTGTGGTAGAAGGCCCCACGATGTGCTAGCGGCAGTCTCGAATCGGTGTGCGATAAGCCTTCCTCGTCTCCAAACTCTTGAAGCTGGTGGCTCATCTTTGATGTGGCTGTGCGGTTCGTGAATTTGCCAAGGAAGCTACTCGATCTATCTGCTTCGCCAAAGTGCGAGTTGAATTCGCCTCCCACAATAAGTTTGTCTCCCGATCTCCGAAGTCTGCTGATCAATAAATTGCCTGCCTGGAAGTGTCGGGCACGTCGGGTCAAGCCCCATGCTGGATTCTGCTGCGGCGTGTACTGCGCGGCGATCGCGTAACAGAAACCACGAATACATAACCTCAAACCGATCCACCGGTCCCAATCTGGTATCACACACAACTCGGGGCCTGCAGACCGCCACTTTTCGACCATATACCTTGAAAGGATGATCCCGCCCGTGCCCTTCACAAACAAGGTATATTCCTCCAGAGCAACAATGACTGGCTGGGGGACTTCTTGCCGCAACCAATTCGGATTTGTTGAATCGCTGATGAAAAAGATACGGCACTTCTCCCTCCTGAGCTGCTCCACTATGTGTGCCAGCTTTGATCTGGCTTCGCTGGTGCCCTAGGACGTACCAGTGGCGTTCAAGGCGCCGATGCGTATCTGCTGGGGATTCGTTGCTACATTGCAAGTGTGCCACTTGCGCCGCAGTCGTAGGGCTCTCTCCCTCGAGTCATTGGGGAAGCCCTAGGTGGCCTGCTTGCGGCATCGGATGGCTGAGAGATACGTCCGCGTTCGCCATGCACGTGGATGCGGTATGCTGGACACGAAGAAAGCAGCGTTGGACAGTTGGTCGTGCTCGCCTTGGCCACCGTAACGCTTCGAAGGGTCTGATCTGTACCGCTAGACTCCATTGTCGAAGGCGCGCGCGCAGCGCAGCAGCGTGAGCACACCCTTGCGCGCCATCAGGGGGCGGCCCTAGCACAGTCCTATTGTCTTCAGATTGCTCCTCTTATTGCTCCTGCTTCTCCTCCTCCTCCTCCTCCTCCTCCTCCTCGTCTTCCTCGTCCTCCCCCTCCTCGTCCTCCCTCTCCTCCTCCTCCTCCTCCTCCTCCTTCTCCTCCTCCTCCTCCTTCTCCTCCTCCTCCTCCTGCTCCTTCTCCTCCTCCTCCTTCTCCTCCCTCGTATGGGGGGCAGATAAATGAGACTCGTCTGATCGACAACACCTGGGTGATAGAGTTTGGGCTCAGGCGCAGTGCATATGTTACGGCATCATGCGGCATCACCATCCTCATCGAGAGTTCGAGGTTTCCAAGATCCATTTTGAAGCGGATATATCCCACGCCAGCGTGGTCGTGGGGACGGTGTGCCGCTGCCAGCTTCCAGACAAGATCTGAGGCGATTGGATTTATTGCGCTGTACTTCCCCCCATCGGCAGACATCGGCAGAACT